AGCCTCATCTCAAGTCTCTTTATTTGGCTTTATTGGAACTTGGGAAATAAAAGGTGCCATACAAAACAACTGCAAAGACTCCTTTTTCTACTCTTTTCCTGTGCAGCTTCACTGAAACCAATCATGAAATTCTTCTTCGCAGACAGAGTGAAGAGAGAAAAATAAATGAGTCCAAAAGCATGTGCAAAAGCTTCTCTTAGCTACCTACTTTGGCCTGCAGTCATGCACGTTACCTATGCAGTTAACATGTTATTACAGACTAGTCGAGGCTGCCTACAGATATGCCTAGTTACACCTGTTTGACAAATCTTTGATTGATAAATGTGGGAAATTTACTTACTCTATGATGGGAAGTTCCCCCACCCCCACTGCATTCTTCTTCATGTTGCTTGAAAAGGTAACACCAAGGCTATGGTGCCTTTTCTCCATTATTTCAGGCGTGACAATATGGCTATCATTCCCAACAGCCTGACATGGTATTAGGTATTCCCAGTGTCAGATGAGAAAAGCTGGTACTATGCTTTGCTGTGTTGGAAAATTAGATGGGAATCTCTCACTCTTTCTGGATGTGTGTACGTGCATGTGAGAGAGTTTAAAGCAGTTGTTCAAGACTCTGATTTCCTGGTGTTTTCTTGGCTGCTGTGGAATTTGATAGCCAATTTGCCTGAGGTGTTAAGAAGATGATGCATTTCCTGTGGGCATGAGTAGGCTCCTAACTAAAGCAGGAAACCTTTTACGCGCACACACACTTCGGATCAAAGGAAGCAAGACCAATTAGCCCAGAAGTTTAACCTCTTTTAACTTTGCTTCTTTTATGTGAGCTTTTTAACCTTTCTTTCCCCTCAATACTTTTCTTTATTCTTTAATTTGGTCTCTTCCTTACAGAACCATTTCCTAATGTTTCTCATCCTGGGTCTGAGGACTTGGCTGCTTAAATCCAAGAATGATTTTTGAGGGGATCAAGTGTACAAGATTTTTGAATTTGTGCCATAAGTCCTTGGCAGTCAGCCAGGAAACCTCAGAGGAGCAAAATTAATGAAGGGAGGGTAACGAAGAACTGGAGTGTGTGGCTGGTAATGCAGTATTCATTTAATTGGGAGCAGGTATCAGTGCAAACTTCTCCATTTTAATTGGAAAAGGAATGGGGGGCGGAGGGCGTTAAGGGAGAAGAAAGGAGAAAAAGAATGCATAAAGTTTTCAAGCTGAGGAGCCAAAAGAAGGCTGGTCTGTGGCAGAGAAAGAACTCAATTTAGGGCAATTTGCTCTGCAAGCCAGGCTGCCACCTCCCCTGGGGATGGGGATGAGAGAGAAAATGGAACCAAAAGAGAACTTGATAAAATCACCTAACTGAGACAATCTCAGCAGAATAGGTTTTTGACTGAGTTAAACCTGCCTCAATCAATGCGGTTCTTTTCATATAAGTTACAGATAAAGAGCCACCAGATTACAATAAAAATTGAGGATGTTGCACATGGGAGCCTTAAGGACCAGTGAAATACAGAGGAGGGTTTTTGTTGTGCTTGTTACCATCAGGTTTGTTTGTTTGATTTTTCCCTCATTGGCCATGGAAACAAATTTGATGTTTTCACTCCATTGCTCTCTTTTCTACTTTCATTTTTCCTTATCATCTTTAAGTGTTATGATTCCAAACAAGGCCTTAAGTCTGAGATTCGCTCAAACTTACGTTGGTTTCTCTTTTAACTGAGAACAGATCGTTCCTTGTATCCTGCTCCATTTTTGCTCAGGATGTTGTCTTCCTGGTGCCTTGAATAAAATGAATATACATTGAAATAAAATGAATTAAGAAGTTTAAGAAGTACCCAACCCATCACTTTCTCCATCACCTACTTTAGTGAGATTTCACTGATAATTCTCCTGACTTTTTTCTGAAAGCAGTGCAAATTAATAAAATGCAATTAAAGTAGTGTCAGGGTTGCCACTGAACTTGTCCTAACGTGAAATCTCAAGACAAATATACGTTCTTATTCAGCAGCCAAATACAGAACCAGAGAATTTTGATAATGTCTGTGCAACTCTCCAGTCAGGTAATGAACATTAATAGTGAGATATCCTACCATTGAATCCTTAATGCAGTTTGTGATTCAAGGAGTGATGTAAGCACTTCTAGGCAATACCAGTGTTCTGTTTCAAAGTTCAAACTATTAGTGCGCTTGACACTTTTGGCTCCCAGTGAATTTAGACTACTTGTTTGCTAATGCTAGAGTCTTTCATATGTTCTAGGATTAAATACTTCTTAAGTTACAGGCTATTTTGATTTATTATGTGCCATCAAGTCGGCGTTGACTCTTAGCGATCATATAGATAGATTTTCTCCATGATGATCTGTCCCTAACATACTCTCTCAGGTCTTCCAACAATGCATCCATTGCCACTGCAACTGAGTCCAGCCACCTTGCTGTTGGTTGTCCTCTTCTTCTCTTTCCTTCCATTTTTCCCAGAAGAGCCTTCTCCAGAGAGCTAGGTCTTTGCATAATGTGTCCAAATTAGGATAATTTGAGCCAGGTCATTTGTGCCTCAGTTGAGAAATCTGGGTTGATTTGTTTGATGATCCATTTGTTTGCTTTCTTGGCTGTCCATTGTATTTTCAGGAGTCTTCACCAATACCAGGGTTCAAAAGCATCAATGAATGCATGACAGAAAGATACAGCTTGGCTATTGGTAAATATGCGTTTCTCCTTGACCTATCTTGTATATATTTTTTAATGTTGGTGTTTGAGATCAATGTTTACAATGGGGTAGAAATCACCTGAAGTATGATGTCAAGGCAATTGAGGGAGGGAGTCGATGTAAACCTGAAACGATGGTGGCAATTTGACATTACCCAATTCTAATGTTGAGCAATGTCATTTGGAAGAGGGAGAAGCTGCAAGGGCTTGGAAGCAAGTGGCTCTTGAGATGTATCTGAACTGCCGTTCCCAGCCTCTGTACTGGGGGCCAGGCAGTCTGAGGTTTGGTGGAGTTGTACTTCAATATCAGCTGGAGGACAAAAGTTTCCATACTCCTGGACTAAAGAGTTTAGATGATAACTAGTTCCTCAGGATTACAAATTGTTTTGAGTTTGTTTTAATTAGGCTAGGGTGCTTATAAAGCCCAGTTAATTGTGGTTGTCCAATCACATAACAATTTATCTTTACTATTTGTATTTTTAACTGTAAGCAGCCCAGAAGCTGGGCAGCCTCTAACAACAACAACAGCAACAACAACAACAGGCAGCTTTACTTGGAACAGCTTACATCCTGTGACAATACCTTTAACACCATCAAACAACATCTGCCTATACCAGGTCCTTGGGAAGGACTCGATATGTGGATAAAAATGCTAAATCCAGTCTAAACACCTGGCTGACTGTGTGACCAACAATAATATCTCAAACACATGCTAGTTATCAATGACACCCATTTTTAAAGTGTTTCAGTAGACTGATGTTGTACACATATTGTCTATCTGGGATTGGAATATTCTATTTTCCTCCAGAGTGTGCTAATTCATCTTTTGGACTATGCAGTTCCATGAGTGGTTCGGCAGGTTCCTGAAATAAATATTCCAAACTAAAAGCTGTTTGAAATGTTCTGGACATGGTATTCTGAATAAAACCCCTGGATCACCCCTGGAACCCCTGAAACTGCTTCTGGTTTGGTAGTTTTACTGCTGAACTGCTGGGGGAATGGCATGACTCAGGAGATTGGACATGGCTCCGAGAGAAATGCAGAGTTCCAGAGCTTTATGTAACATTCCATTCCAGGATGGGTAAATTTTGCACATTCCTAGGATACATCCTGTTATTTTTTAATATATAGTGTTATTTCAAGTAAGATATGACAAGTTTATTCTAAATGTGTTTATGTGTGTGTGTGTGTATGTGTTTATATGTGTTGGAAGTGATAATTTGTTGACTGGGCATGTGTGTGTGAGGGGGGGAATGCACGCACACACACGTTCATAATTTGTTAATTGGAAAAGGCGCTACCAGACTCCTGATTTTTGACTACCATAGACTAAGAAAGTTCTTCAACAATTCTTAATAAGTTCATTTTTTTTTTTTTTTTTAGTATGTGATATGAATGTGTGGCTATAGCCGGGGGCTAGTAGTGTAACTTTCTGCATGTAGTAGTTGTATGTGGGTTGGCCTTAGGTACCAAACATGTGTTTCCCTTCTGATATATTTGTAGAAAGTGAGCTTTAACCTTAACCTCTTTTTGCAGGCACTTGTAGGGATGAGATGCTCAACGCTTGGTGCATATTCTACATGAATAGCAGCACTTTTCCTTGGTAAGTACTTTTGGGGGAGGCAGCTGCATTAAACTTCACTGAATTTAATTGCTGGGCTTTGGTGAGGCATTTTATTCAGCCCAGCTTTAGTGCTTTGTGGTTTGTGGATTAGTATCGTGTGTGAGTCCAGCCATGGTGGTTTATTCAACAAAATATGGTTGAGGCTTAGTGCAATATTTGAACCCAATCAGTGAGAATTCTGACTAAAAAAAGGGGATGGTTTTGCTGTTTGCTGACTGAGAAGGGAATACCAGAGTTACTTTGTGTGAGATGGGTGGCTATATAAATACGATAAATAAATACATAAAATACGTAGAAAAACACATATCAGAAATTCAGTTCTCTGGACTATAAGGGATTATTTGTGCTCCAGAGGTGTCTCTAGCATGTGGTCAAAAAAGTCAAGATGGTGGCTATTTTGATCCCCCCCCCCTTTTTTTATGCGTGTTGCCTGTGTGTTGCACATAAGCAGGCAGAGCTTTGATTGCACCACCCCAGCTACCATCTTGGCTTTCTTGATCACATCCTGCACACGCTCAGTTTGATCGCCACCAAAAGCATTATGTCAGCTGGAAAGGCAAGGTTATATAGGGGCCCATATGCAGCTAGACTTAATGTCTGTTATACAAATAGTAAGTTCCATAATCTGGAAAAGCGAAAGGTTGGTGTTGATCATTTGTCACATAAATGTGTGTCTCTGTGTGTGTGTGTACATGACACACACATACACACACACATTCATTCACTGTTTCTCAAAATCCATGTTTGGGTTGGATTTTCATTAAGAGCAAGCAACATAGCAGAAATTTGTGAAATCTTTCAAGTTCTATAGCATCCCTGATGATGCAAGATGGAAGGCTGCTGTAAATATGAGAAGTTGCAGATTCTTCTATGCTGATTTGTTTGATCCTAGTATTACTGAACTATGGAATCTGGATTTCTATGGTTACTCATTTAACCTTATACACTCATGACCAAACCATCCATCTGTTCCTGCCTCCCAACAATAAATTGAGTACATTTGGAGTTTAAAAGCTTCCCTTCCCTTCCCTTCCCTTCCCTGGCTCTTAGCACCACAGGCCTTGATTAAATGAGACATTTTGGTTCCATTGTTTTTACCAGCTTTCTCATTCAATTCTTGACAGCATTTCCTCTCAACTGAATATTGTTATCACTTCTTAACTCTAATTTTCTTCCAAGCTGCCTATATTATCACCCCCATTCCCATTTCAGAACCTTGATTCTTACTCTTTAATCTACTAATTGGCTTTTACCTTCAGATCCTACTGCCTCCTATGTGTGCAATTTGATCTGCTTAGGCAGAGTTCTCCCTTACAACTCCTTTTGCTTGCTCATTCTTTTAGTGCCCTCTATATATTAGTTGCTAGTTAGTATGTTCAAAGAAAATGCACTTGGGTGTTTTTAATATTGGTATTAGTATTAATGTTATAGAAACGCTTAAGTAGCACACTACTTTCTCTTCACGGCATGGTCTTTCATGGCTTTTATGAAAGAAATTATACTCCATTGCAATGTCTTCAGGGCTTCTAAGCAGTACAATAATGGTGTCACCAGTTTTATTTCTAAATTGCTTACTGTATTTCCATGTAGATGTATTCATATCTTTTAGGCAGTAGAGACAAATAATAGAAAACTCAGAGGTAGTTGATTTATTTTATTAGATTATCTTGAATATTTGTGCTAGTTCATAAAATAGCATCTGTAGCCCACATTGCACACAGTATGTGAGCTACTGAGTTCAGCAGGGTTTACTCACAGATAAATGCATATATAGGATTGCAGCCCTTTTCATCTTTCAAATTTGTATTGCTTTTTTCTTGCTATGGATATTCTCCTCTCCTTTCTATTGTTTTCCATGTAATCTCCCACTTCAGCTCACTGTGTTCAAATAATGTCTTGCTTTAAAACATCTTCACTCTGAACTACTCTTCTTTTTTTTTTTCTAATCTGAAAGTATTTCTCCTTCCTTTATTCATTTTCAGTATCTGCATTTATTTTATGCTACTAGTTTTGTGGAGATTAAGATACTTTACAATAACTCTTACCTGGACATAAAGTGATTGTTGATATAGTGCCAGATGATAGGACCATCAAGTTGGATGGCACTCAACATGATACTAAGGAACAGCTGAGGATAATTTGGAGTACTAATAGTGTTTATGATGTGGCCAGAGTAGGGCTGTCTAGTTGCTGATGTTGCCATGTAGGAAAAGCAAATCCAAAGCTGGAAAGACAGAATTATAGTGGAACATGGATCACAAGAAGTATGAACATGGGAAAGTTTAGCACAATAAAAGATGAAATGAATTCACTATACATTGACATTTTAAACATCAGCAAATGAAAAAAGAATGGGTTTGGATACTTTTGGTCAGAAGATCATACTGTTCACTACTCAGGACATGAAAGACAAAGAAGAAATGGCATTGCTTTCATAGTCAGGAAGGTTATAGCAAAGACAGTACAATGTAGTCAGTGACTGAATCATATCAATTCAGTTTCACAGACAACCACTTAATATCATGGTTATCCAAATTTATGCTCCAACCACTGTTAAAGAAGAAAAGGAAGTTGATGAGTTTTATGGTCAAGTTCAGTCTTGACAGGATATGGGAGCAAGATGTGCTGCTTGTGGTTGGAGACTGGAATGCCAAAGTTAGAAATAATAAGGAGGAAAGCATAGTTGGACTGTATAGCCTAGGAAACAGAAACGAAGTGGGAGAACTACTAGTCAGTTTTTGCTAATCCTAGGATTTCTTCATTACAAACACAGTCTTCAAACAATCAAAATCTATCTGATGATGTCCATGTATATATGGTAGGCCCATATATATATATATATATATATATATATATA